GGGGGGGGGGGGGTTACTGGCTTTAAAATAAAAGTGGTGTGACAATGACCAAAACAAATGTGACAAGCTGAAAATAATGACATTCGAGACAAACATAGACGAAGCAAAACCGTGAAGACAAAACCCAAAATACACATAGATCTCTAGTTGGCCAATTTGATTGTTCTCCCTAAATAAAGCGGTCTAATGGATGGACAATGAGTGACAGTGAACTCACGTCGTGTCCTACTCCAGAACAAAGAACCAACATCTCAGGTGAGACAAACAATAGTCTCGAATAAACACAAACACCAGAGTATCTAGAAGCGTAGAAACAACTGCAACCATCAACACACCCAACTGCACGATATCCTCAGCTCGAAATATTCGTGTTCTTCTTATCCACAGATGTTTCAGAATCGCTGATAAAACTAACGGCTGTAAAAACGACACCCGAAAACAAAGACTGCTCTAGGGGCCACGTACAGACAGACACATATGATAATACAGCCACGGGGCAATATAGTTATAAGCTCATCAGACCCATCTAGAATCGGCCAATCACAGACCCGATCGCAGCGAGAGAAGATGATAAGCCCGGCCTCTCGGCCACGAAAAACTCGCAGCGACCCGTCGTCAACTGGAGCTCTGATAATGGGTGCCCCATCCCGACCAGTATCAGAAGGTTATCTGTCCAGCTATTCGATGAAGTAGCTGCCTGTACCTACCACTATCTACGATCACCGATGCCAAAGTACAAAGCCTTCCCCGTGTTGGAGCGGGTCAATACCGCTGTTATCAGTCTCCGCACTGTGTTCCATACGTTCAGAATAACTGTGCCGGCGCCTTCTCGCGTCATCACAGATACTATTTGGTGCACAAAGAACCCAAGGGGCCGCACAGACTCGTCGAAAGACAAGGTTCAAGTCCAAGTGCCTCTCCAACTTTTGAGCTTCCCAAATCTGAACAAACATCGATAGTGAAAGTGATTAAGAAGGCTTGGTGGGTAGCAGCAATGGTGGTGAGCTTTGCTCTCAGACTTCAGTGTCTGGCAGAAGCTCTGTTTCTCTCCCTCTATCTCTCTCCTTTATCTCCCCCTCCTCTCCCCTTTCTCTCTCTCTCTCTCTCTCTCTCTCTCTCTCTCTCTCTCTCTCTCTCTCTCTCTCTCTCTCTCTCTCAATGAACCCCCCCCCCAAACCAACCCTTTTTTATAGAGGTATATTTATGTATGTTGGGGTTTATTTTTTTCCTAATGTGACACTGAACACTTCACACTCTTGTCACCTCAGCTTTCCATTTTCATTTGTTCAGTTCTGTGGCATGAAGTATGGGCTTCCCATTATGATTCGCGTGTTAACTGAGGGAACTAAACACATTAACTTTATTTCAAGACAAATGGGATTCAAGAGGGCCACATCCACAACATGTCAACATGAGAATCATTTTTGCTAAAAGAAGTATTTTTGCATGATTAACATATTTAACCAATACACCCGTCTATAATGATATCCCCCCTCTCTCTCTCTCTCTCTCTCTCTCTCTCTCA